CACACACACACACACACACACACACACACACACACACACACACACACCCACCTGCCTGTTGACGTCGGCTCCGGCCTGGCTCAGCCACACCACGCAGTGGGGGTGTCCCCCGAACGCTGCCGCGTGCGCCGGTGTCTGGTTGAGGCGGCTGCTCGCTGTGTTCACCTCACAGCCCAGCTGCACCAGGTGCACCACGCACTCCAGCTGTGGCAACACAAAGTCAACGGCGTGTCAGCTCTTCTTCTTCACGAGTCACCGCAGAGGACCAACCGACGCCCAGCGGCTGACTTGACACCACACGTCCCGATGAAGCGTGGAGCTGCCGCGTGGGCGCAGGTGGTGGGGCCTTGCTCAAGGGCCCAGAGTGGAGCAACGAGGGTGGAGGCAGGCGTTTCCTTCTCCAACCTCTGCGCCACCGCTCCCCCAGTGTCTCCTGCGATATCACGAACGTTTAAGGAATGAAAGAAGACGGCAGCCACAGCTGATGAGCAGCACAGCATGGCTCCAAGCCACAGAGCTGCATGTTGCTGTAGCAGCTTGTGACGGAGTAGCAACACGTGACGCTACCACGACACAACAAGGCTCCCCTTACAGATGATACCTTATGAACACATCACTAATAACTGTTCATTAAGCATTAATTACAGGTTACTTCATCTGAAAAGTTTAACAGAACAACTCTGGACTAAATTAACAGGTGAACAAGAAGCTGGTGTGTCTGTCACCTGTAATTAATGTGTAACAAGCAGTTAGTAACGGTTTATAAAGAGTTAATAACGTCCCTGTCACGTATAAGGGGGTCCTTGTTGTAAAGTGCACGTGAGCACCGTCACGAGATCTGTCAGAGTTCCTTCAACAAGGCTCGACTTTCAATTCTGTCGTCAAATGTAACGATTGTTCGGCTCCTGTCAACTCGCATCACTTTTAGAAACGCGTTGAAATTTAGAACAAGTTCAGTTTATTCACGAAGCACCGAACAGAATATATATTTAGCTCAAAGTTAATAAGATTAATCATCTGAGACTCTGGTCCTGAGCAAGCAGCAAGGCGACAGTGGGAAGGAAAAAGTCCCTGGTGAGCTGCGGCTCGTTACAAAGCTGAACTTTACTGGTTGTTATACAAACTATAAACACTGCTCTAGTTTTAGCTGCTCCTGCCACTTCTTTTGCAAAAGCTTTAACTTTCCCCTTTTTTTCTATCAATTATTTATTCCACATTAAAAATTAAAACTATTTTCCGTCAGTTTAAGGACATGAGGTCAGTTTGTCCTCCAGTGGCCGACCCTAACTAGGACTTATGACGGTGTCAGGCTTTAAAACAGAGTTACTGCGTCACAAGGTTCATGTTTGTTTACAGGATTCAAAACAAAAGCAGCGCTTCCTGGTTTTTTGGCGCCACAGCAGCCATTGGCTCCGCTCGGACCAATCAGAATCTGCGCTGGCCTTTTTTCCTTTTTTTCCCCTCCCCTTTCTGAAAAAACTTTATTGAACAACCACACGGTGACATCAAGCCCTCAAAGTGTCCGCGAACAACAAATAAAGACCGTAGCGACGCTTAAATAGAGAAAACTCCGCTTCGGAACCTGTTCTCGTTTCCTCCGAGTTCAACTGAAACCAGTGCGCGTGAAGTGGAAGTCCGCCGTCGGAGTTCGCTTCAACATTCCCAGGTGAACTCACCTGTCCGCAGTGAGCAGCCCAGTGCAGAGGCGTCCACCCGTAGCCGGAGTCCTCCGCCGTCAGGTGAGCCTGGTCCGACAGCCGCTCCACCAGAGACACCAACCCGAGCAGGTCTCCATCCCGGCAGGCTCGGTGAACCGGAAACTGGCTCAGCAGCACCTGGTCCCGGCAGGAGTCTGCTCCCGGCGCCGCGGACATGAGAGCCGCCGAACTGGACGGTGACCAGAGGGACTTCTGGTTTCACTGGGCGACTTCCAGCGGGACTTCTGGTTTCACTGGGCGACTTTCAAACACAAAGAAAGGAGGATAACGCTGCGTTCACTGACGGATGGAAACTCGGAGTTTCAAACTCTTCGCAGGATAAAAAAAAAAGAAAGTGCCACAAAATAGTCCAGTTCTAAGTGGATTCAACTTTCCTGAACCTTAATTTAAAGGTTTGGTTTTTAAAGCAACACAGCACAACAAACTTTAATCTTTTTTATTAAACAAATGCGTTAATGAAATTAACGTAACAGGTTCAATTTCCGAGCTCCAGTGAATGCAACATAAGCCGTTGTGCACGTGCGGAGAGTGTGAAACCCTGGACTGGAGTTGAGTTTTCGCGCCATTCGGTTCGTGTTAGTTAAATATCAACCAGGAATACTGTAAGTCCCTGAGAGGTAGGTACCACTGAGGAGTACGTTGTACTTCAAAAGTACAGCTCAGAAAACTTTGCCCTTTGTGTACTTATTGTTTACTTTATGGCTATGCTAGCTGTTAGCCTTAGCACAGTTCAGTGATGAATGGAGCAAATAATCTGAAATAATCTGAAATAATCCGTGTCAGTCCTGACAGACCACAACAACACCAGAACATGGCAGTAGTTGTTACAGGGAAACGTTTGGACCAGAACCACAGCAGAACAAAGGTACGCAATGTTAACTGAACCACAGCTGAAATTAGCTGAAGCAGCTGAAATTAGCTGAAGCAGCTGAAATTAGCTGTTCAAGTACAAAGCAAGCACGGCAAAAGCTAAAATGAGCAAAGCACGGGCTACAATTAGGAAAACAAGCTAAAACTAAAGGCAGCAGAACATTAGCTGAAGGGTCAAACGAGTCAACTTTATTTATAGAGCACATTTCAAACAACCTGTTGTCAAAGTGCTTAACAACAACCAATGAGAAAATCAAAGAGAAAAAATACAATGCACTAATAATAATAACTGAAGAATTAATAAAAAGCATTTAAAACCTCAGTGGCGGCAGTTGAGCAAGGGCTAAAGACAATGACTTCAGTGTTGTCTTTGTTAAAACTTAAGAGATTTGAAGTCATCCAGGCCTTAATGTCGTCCAGACATTTTAACAGAGGGTGAATGGAGCAAACACTTCCTGGTTTCACAGGCAGGTAGATCTGGCAGTCATCAGCATAGCAATGGAATGAAAGACCGTGTTTCCTCAGGATGGACCCCAGAGGGAGCAAATAAAGTGAGAACAGAAGGGGTCCAAGAATAGAACCCTGTGGGACCCCACAAGAAAGAGGTAATGAGGCGGATACATTGTTACCAACCTTGACACAGAAGCTCCTACCACTCGGGTATGAGCGGAACCATTCTAATGCAGCACCTGTGGTCCCACCCCACAGTTCCAGCCGTGACATGAGGATCCTGTGGTCAACAGGATCAGAGGCAGCAGTAAGGTCCAGGAGCACCAGTACCACAAACTGACCAGAATCGTTTCAGATCATAGTGTCGTTATCTTAAAACTAGCTGAACAGTTGCTGACAGTCCCAGCAGAGCAGCAGCTCATGGTTAAAAAGAGCAAACATCCATAAACAAATACAAATGAGCTAAACAGACGCTAAAGCTAAATTAGCTAAACCCATGCTAATAATTAGCAAAGCGGATGTAAATGCTAGCAACACAGAAGGAAAAGCTAAACTTAGTATATCAGAAGCTACAATAAGCAAACCAGTAGGCATAACTACGCAAGACCAAGCTAAATGTTACAGAATGGAAGGTAACGTGGTGAAACGGTTGGAGCTGGATGGTAGCTAAAAGCTAAAGCTAGCAGAAGGACATCTACAACCTAAAGGTAGCTAAAAGTAGCTTAAACAAATGGAGGCAGTGCGCTGAAGCAGTTTTGTTTGAGAACGTTTTACGGTCAGTGTATTTTAATGAGTAATTTTATTGAAAAGTGTTCACTCTTCTGAGAACGAGTCACAGCACTGAGCTAAACGTTTGGATTAAAAAGTGGCTAAAGTAAGCTGCTCCGTTGAAAAACGTTTGAAGTGGTTTAGGAACAGCTGGTATTATGATGGTCCACGTTGTGGTTCTCGGAGGAACAGTAACGATGTTCTTCTTCTTCGTCTCAGGGGTCTTTTGTCCGAGTGAGGAGGACAGACTTGGAGAAATTAACCACAGAAGTCATGCAGCTCCGAGAGTTTCTGCCCCGAGTCCTGAACGGTAAACGGACTCGAGCCCAGAGAGCAGAGCCGAGTGAAAGTCCTTTACGTGACCAAAAGCTGTTGCAGCGTGTCAGCGACACGCCCTGGATGTTGGACAGCTGTGCTTGACAGCTGTGACCTTTGACCTGCAGGTTTGTGCGTGGACAAGGAGCACCTTGGACATGAACAGGAGCAGCTGAGGCAGGAGTGTCTCCACCTTCAGTCCAGACTGGATGCTGTTCAAAGTGAATGTCAGAGAGAGAGAGAGGTGAGACCAGAAGATCAAAGCCTGCTCAGAACCGCGGGGAACATCCAGCGCTCTTCAGGCTTCTGTGGAAACAGCCGTTATTCAGCTGATTCCACAGGAAGTCGTCAACAGGCGGGTCAAACCAGCCGAGAGTTCAAACAACCTCACGGTCCTGGTTCTTCATGGTCCGAAAACCCAAAGAGAACATGGAGCTGAGTCAAAGTGGACTCCCTAAAAACGAAAAGTTGTAAAAGATCAGCTAAAACCTAAACATGGCTGATCATAGCTAGCAGAAGCAAAACACCAGCTAAAGTCAGGTCAGCTTCATTATGAAGCGCATGTAAAACAGCAGCTGTTACCAAAGGGCTGAAAGCTAAACGTAGCAAAGGGCTAGCAAGGAGTTGCAGTGTTCCCCCAGTTTACTTGCCTCGGCAGGGCGCTCATGTCTTCCAGGGGGTGGAGTCGGAGACACGTCTGTGTTGCTCGCTGGTTGCACCGACGGTTTTCAGGTGGAGGGTGGACATGGCTCAACGTGAGGGAAACGGACCGCTACGTCTAGCTTTGTAGCTAGTGTGTCTGTAGCTAGCTTAGTGCTACATCAGTGCTGGAAGTTGTCAGGGGGGTGGGGGTGGGGGGGGTGTTCGGTAGGCAGGGCTGCTTCAGTCCGAGGAGCTGTATTCAGCTCAGTCTAGTAAACAGCACCTTCTCATAACCAGTTTGTTGACATCCAGAACTAGCTGTTCACAACGATTGGAACTGAATGATCAAGGAGGACCATCAGGGCACTAACGACCGATCGCTCGTTAGTGCCCTGATGGCTGTTTACTGTTCACAGAGGGCTGAGTGATACTAGCAATCACAGCATTGTAAGAGGGGGACAGTTGAACCCGGAGGCTCCACCCCTGTTTAATGATGGACGGTTTCTTTTCACAAAGATGGCCTCCTTTACTCCTCTCTCAAACCATCGTTCCTCTCTGTCCAGGATGTGAACATCTTCATCCCTGAAAGAGTGACCGCTGGCCTGGAGATGAGTGTAGACCGCAGAGTCCTGGCCTGATGATGTTGATCTTCTGTGCTGGTCCATCCTTTTGGCCAGTGGCTGTTTTGTTTCCCCGATGTAAGACTGATCACCCTCCTGACACTGAACAACATACACAACATTACTCTGTTTGTGCCGGGGGACTGGATCTTTGGGATGAACCAGTCTTTAATGTATTTTGGGGTTTAAAAGCCACTGGGACGTTGTGTTTAGAAAATAAGACGTTTATTTTCTAAACACAACGTCCCAGTGGCTTTTAAACCCCAAAACACTGTTAGATATTTATCTAGACTGGTCCTGGGGTTTGGATCTGCTCAGAGACCACGGGATTATAATGGAATTATGAGCCAGTTCTGACTGGGTTAAACTGGGCCAGCAACTGTAAAAGAGTTTCCCTGGGATTAAATATCAGTCAAGGAATAGAATTTCATCTGCTACATCACGTAGAAAGGCTTTTGAAGCACCGTCTCATATTTCCCAACACGTCAGTTCACATCAGATCCATTGAGATCACACTTAGCCACGCCCCCTCATACACTGACAGGTTGAGCTCCCCTTCTGCGAAGGACGAGTCCAGGACCCTATAAATGAGTAATGAGACGAGACATCTGCCCTTCCAGGTTTGTGAACGCATCACAGACCGGAGAGTCCAGCGCTGTAACTGCAACCTTCTGCCTCTATTTAATGCAGTTGGTAAAACTGAATTCACGTTTCCTTGATTTATTAAATAGTGTGAGTTGCTGCGTCTGAGGGAGGTCCGAGCCGGGGGGAGCGACGTGGGCTGGAGGCGGGTCCTGTGTCCGAGAGGAGGCCTAAGGCCACAGCCAGCTAACATCTTAACAACACATTAAAGACTGGTTCATCCCAAAGATCCAGTCCCCCGGCACAAACAGAGTAATGTTGTGTACGTTGTTCAGTGTCAGGAGGGTGATCAGTCTTACATCGGGGAAACTAAACAGCCACTGGCCAAAAGGATGGACCAGCACAGAAGATCAACATCATCAGGCCAGGACTCTGAGGTCTACACTCATCTCCAGGCCAGCGGTCACTCTTTCAGGGATGAAGATGTTCACATCCTGGATAGAGAGGAACGATGGTTTGAGAGAGGAGTAAAGGAGGCCATCTTTGTGAAAAGAAACCATCCATCATTAAACAGGGGCGGAGCCTCCAGGTTCAACTGTCCCCCTCTTACAATGCTGTGATTGCTAGTATCACTCAGCCCTCTGTGAACAGTAAACAGCCATCAGTGTGCTAATGATCCATTGTTAGGCTGATGGTCCTTCTTGATCATGTGAGCAGCTGGTTCTGGTTGTCAGCAGCAAACTGGTTGATCCACTCTGAGAAGGTGCTATTTAAGAGACTGAGCTGAATACAGCACCTTAGACTGAGGAAGTCCTCAGGATGAGAGACGAAACGTTTCTACAAGAAGAATCCGTCCAGAGGACCTGACTCCAGCTGGTTGGATTCATCTACCTGGAGCTTTTTTCCATGAATGAACTATAAATATTTAGAAAAGAATAAAAGTTAGAAACACCAGAAGAGTCGCATGTTGTGGATGAGCTGAACTGTTCACACACATAAATGAGTGTCTGCGTGGTGTCCCTGCAGGAGAAGCTGCTGCTGAGGGACCAGCTGTGGCAGAGCGGGTCAGAACTGCAGCAGCAGGCAGACTTCTGCTCGGCCGTGGGGTCTGCTGCCTGCAGTCTGCTGTGGAGCTGCTCCTCCAGGGAGGACTCGGTCACCGCCTGGCTGGCTCATGTGAGTCCTCCGGCACCCACACCAACATGTTCCTCTGTGAGTCATTTCAGCTCTTCAGTGGTCAAAGTCTCCGCCTCGTTGAAACGGTGCAGGTGAGGCCGTGCAGTGCTCTGGTTCACCTGTGGGGGCGCTCTCATACAAGATGTGAAGCAGCTGCACGCGCAGATGTTCCACTGTGTCCAGTATGTTGAGTGTGACACGTGCTTCTCATGTCTGATGGGTGCACGCTGACGAGGCGCTGCAGAGCGTCCCTCAGGGGGCAGTGAAGCAGGTGTAGTTCTGCTGCTGCAGAGGGGTGGGGGTGAAGCACACGGTGCACTCGTTGAATTTGTTTACACAGAGTTCAGGATCTCAAAGCTGAAGCATTTTAATAACCTCCACGAGTCATGCACAAAAAACATGCATTAGAACAATAAAACACTTTAAACATGGATGAAGTGCTGCTCTTGACACGGACTGTAGTTTGTGTTTAAACTTGTTGAATCTGGTCTCACACTTGAAGTGACAGGAAGTGAGTAACAAGCTGACAGACAGAGAACTGAACAAGCTGCTTCCAGGAACCATTTACAGCTGCTCAGGTTCTGCATCACGGTTAATGGTCTGCCTGCAGGTCCATGGTACAGTTCTAGAACTCATGTAAAATGTTCCAGGGATGAACTCTGACTGTGTTGTGGTATAAAACCCTCCAGGTCCTGACTGTGGAGACTTTCCACAGGTGTAAGAGCAGCTTGGAGCAGAAAGTAGCTCCATGAGAAGAATGTGAAGGAGCTGAAGAACATCTCTGCTCAACGACGCGTCAAACATGTCATCATTATTTTAAAACTGTTTATGTTCAAATAGAAGCTCCTATTTTGGGTTCAGGTATGTGAACACTGGATTCCAGACGGTCAGTGTCTCACCTGTCACACACATCACCGCACGTCACTGAGGTAACCACACCCAACTGCTACACCTTCAGCGTGTTGGAGCTAAACTCAGCCGGTGGTGCAGCTCATCAGTTCAACTGAAGAGAAGAAAACCTACTCAGTCTGAGCTCCACCTGTCCTCAGGTGTTCTGCTCCACCTTTCCTCAGGTGTTCTGCTCCACCTAGAGTTTTAATAAAAGCATTTTTTGTGTGGAGACTTTAATATTGACCTGGGAAATAAAACAGATTCAAATAACATCAGTACATTTACAAATTCATTGTATAGTTTAAATCTTTATCCGTTAATATCAAAACCAACAAGAATTACAACTCATAGTGCTACAATAATCCATAATATCTTGATGCTGCTCAATAATCCAGGTAGAAAAATCCAAAAAAGTTCAATCTGGTCCTCTGGACATTCAAAAAAACAAAAGCAAAACAAAATGTAGAAACGTTTCGTCTCTCATCCTGAGGACTTCCTCAGTCTGAGGTGCTGTATTCAGCTCAGTCTCTTAAATAGCACCTTCTCAGAGTGGATCAACCAGTTTGCTGCTGACAACCAGAACCAACTGATCACATGCTCAAGAAGGACCATCAGCCTAATGATCCATTGTTAGGCTGATGGTCCTTCTTGAGCATGTGATCATCTGGACCAGCTCTACACCCTGAGCAGGGTCCTGGAGGGTGTGTGTGAGTTTGCCCAACCTGTCTACATGTGCTTTGTTGACTTGGAGAAGGCCTTCGACCGCGTCCCTCGGGGAGCCCTGTGCGGGGTACTCTGGGAGTATGGGGTACCAGGCCCTTTGATACGGGCTGTTAGGTCCCTGTACGACCGGTGTCAGAGCTTGATCTGCATCGCCGGCAGCAAGTCGGATTCGTTCCCAGTAAGAGTTGTACTCTGCCAAGGTTGCCCTTTGTCACTGATTCTGTTCATAACTTTTATGGACAGAATTTCTAGGCACAACCAAGGTGTTGAGGGGTTCCATTTTGGTGGCCTTAGGATTGCTTCTCTGCTTTTTGCAGATGATGTGGTCTTGTTGGGTTCATCAGGTCATGATCTACAGCTTTCGCTGGAGCGGTTTGCAGCTGAGTGTGACGCGACCGGGTCGGGGAGGAGGTCCTGCCCCAAGTGGAGGAGGTTAAGTATCTCGGGGTCTTGTTCACGAATGAGGGAAAAATGGAGCCTGAGATCGATAGGCGGATAGGTGCAGCATTGGCAGTGAAGGACGCTGTACTGGTCTGTCATGGTGAAGAGAGAGCTGATTCAAAAAATGAAGCTCTCAATTTACCGGTTGATCTACGTTCCTACACTCATCTATGGTCACGAGCTTTGGGTTGTGACCGAAAGAACGAGATCTCGGATACAAGCGGCCAAAATGAGTTTTGTCCGCAGGGTGTTTGGACTCTCCCTTAGAGATAGGGTGAGAAGCTCGATCATCCGGGAGGGACTCAGAGTAGAGCCGCTGCTTCTCCACATCGAGAGGAGCCAGTTGAGGTGGCTCGGGCATCTGGTTAGGATGCCTCCTGGACGCCTCGCTGGTGAGGTGTTTCGGGCACGTCCCACCAGGAGGAGACCCAAAGGAAGACCCAGGACACGCTGGAGGGACTATGTTTCTCGGCTGGTCTGGGAACACCTCGGGATTCCCCTGAAGGAGCTGGTCCGAGTGGCTGGGGAGAGGGAAGTCTGAGCTTCCCTACTTAGGCTGCTACCCCCGCGACCCTGGATAAGCAGAAGAGGATGGATGGAGGCTGTTTAAATACTGCTGTTATCGGTCTTTGAACCATGCTACGTTCACAATCGGATGATGTCATTTTAAGTGCGTTAACAAGTTAGACGTAATGCTTGCGGCAGATCCAATCTTCAAGAAACAACGTCGACACACAGCTTTGGATCTGTTCACTTGTTTTTTAACAAGAAAGCCATAATGTTCCCAAACAGGAGACCGCAACGAGATGGATTGTTCGTTGCCTGTTAGGCTGCTAATGCTATGCGTGCTGCGAGATAATAGCGCCGTGCTGAAACACGCTTAGGAACTTTAGTTCTGCAGCGCATAATCTCTCTTTAATAAATTTAACGAGTGAAAAAATAACCGAAACAGTACGCACGTGGGCCGAACCGAACATGCTGTACCAAAACAGTTCTATACACCCACGTGTACCGTTACAGCCCTAGTATTTTCCTCTGATACTGATGGTCTCCTGACACCTGGCAGTAACTGAACATGTCCTCGTAACGCCACACAAAATGGTGGCACAAATGTTTATTTTTTATTATTCATAGATGAAAATGTGTATACTGAGGCTGGCCATCCCATTCATCGGCCATCTCTGGTCTAGTGGGGGCTCCTTACAGGGTGTTGGTGAGGCCTTCAGGAGCACATTGTTTCACAGGCTAGTGGTTGTGGAGCATGCACTGTACTTCTGCAGTGAGGGTTATGGTTGTGGTGGCAGCAGTGTATCCATGATGTTGACCCATTATGATTGGCCCAGTCCATGTTACAGCTGTGATCACGACATGCAGCTTCATGACCTCACACTGAAGGGGTCTGATGGGGTCTCTCAGGGTCTGATGGGGTCTGAAGGTGTCTGATGAGGTCTCTTAGGGTCTGATGAGGTCTTTCAGGGTCTGATGGGGTCTGATGAGATCTGAAGGTGTCTGATGAGGTCTCTTAGGGTCTGATGAGGTCTTTCAGGGTCTGAAAAGACACAATGGTACATGCTCTATTCAACCTCTGCTCGACTGCCTGGCTGTCATCAGGGACTGGATGGCTTTAAACTTTTTGAGTTTCAATGAAAAGAAGTCTGAAGTCATGTTGTTCCCTCCCAATGACACGATCACAAACCACTGCATCGACCTCTCTGCTCTAACCCTGTCAGAAAAACAAAGAGTCACTAATCTGGGCGTGATAATGGACCCTTCCCTGAAACTAAACTGAAGCCCATATTGTCCAAAAAGAACCTGGAGACAGTAATACATGCATTCATTACATCTAGGCTTGATTACTGCAATTCTCTCCTGTTAGGTATCAGTCAGACCTCCATTGCACGACTACAACTGGTCCAGAATGC